AGGGAGGAGGAGGAGGAGGAGGAGGAGGAGGAGGCGGAGGAGGAGGGGGGGACGCCTCGACCCCCAATTGGGCCCCATTACCCGCCGATCCGGACCTGGGTGCCCCTGCCTGTCGCCCCGAGCTGTCGGCGAGGCACGGCCGATTCCAAGCCGGCTGTTCGTTTCAAGTCGGGCACGGCCTTCCACAGAAGGAATCTTCGATAATAGTCAAAAATAGTCTAGGAGGTTGCTCGACCTGCTACCCTGACACGTCGATTAGCGAATTGGCCGTTTTCCGTTCGCGAGAGGGCGTCGCGGCCGTCATTTTTGCGGTTCCAGGTCCGTCGGTTTCGGTCCTAGGCCGTTTTCATTAAAGGGTGGTTTACTAGAGGGAAGTTTGTCCACCGCCGATAGTCTGCAGGGGGTTTTTGTTTGACTATTGTTGCACATGTGTGGTTCGTTTCCATTTCCTTTCAAAATCCACCAGTAGGAGGGCATGCCCGACCTAAAGTTACACATTGTTCATTTCTTTATTATTCGAAAATGCTCTGATTTTTTGGAGGGCCAAGATCCTTTCATTTCTAATTGTTCTATCCTGGGCCCCTTCCTGGCCATTAGGGGGCCAGGAATAATTCGAAACGAGCACAATTGGAAATGAGCACGATTAGAAATTAACGACGTGTAGTTCCGTGAGCCAAGTGCCCCCTCGGCGTTGCCCATCGCGGCCGCTCCATGGGGCGCGTTTCGTTTCTGGGATGCCGATGGGGCATCGAGCCGTGGCGACGCGAAGCCATCCCGGCCCAGAAAGGGGCCCAACGAAGCTCGAGGCCTCGAACAGCCCAGGAACTTCGTTGGGCCCAGGATTGGGCCCAACGAAGTTCCTGGGCCCTCCTGGCCAAGGAATGGGCCCAAGAAGGGTCCAACGAAGCTCGAACACCTGAAGCCTCGATCCTTTTCCCCCTCATCGTCGTCATCGTTGCCGTCGGGTGGCGCGGCCGTCGGGCGCCCTTCCCAGGTACCGCCCCGACATCGCCGGAAAGGTCACGGGGATGATGCTCGAGCTCGACAACAACGAGATCCTCGGCCTCCTCCAAGACGAGGTCAGACTGCGGCGGAAGATCGACGAGGCGTCCTCGCCGTCGCCCTCCTCGCGTGCCTCGCCCTCGCGCGCCTTGTCGCCTCCCCCTCGCCGCCCCCTTGCTCGCCGCCGCGAGGCACGCCCGGACCCCCACTCGGGGCCGCGAGCCCCGTCGATGCAGGAGGGGCTCTGCGCGGATGCCCCGCGTGGGGCGTGTCCGCCGAGGGCGCGTGCGCGCGGGGCCGCACCTCGGCGCTCCGAGAGCGGCTGGGCACGGGCGTGGTCGTCGCCCGCTCGGGTCGGGAGGTGAGCACGCCCGTCGCGGAAACATGTTCTCGCTCGCGGCGCCGGGTGTTTGGGTCTCGGGCGGCGCCGGCTGCTCACCTGCTCCCGGGGGGGGGAGGAGGGATGCTGCTGCTGCTGATGCTGCTGCTGCTGCTGCTGCTGATGATGATGATGATGATGATGATGATGCTGATGCTGATGCTGATGCTGATGCTGATGCTGATGCTGATGCTGATGCTGATGCTGATGCTGCTGATGATGCTGATGCTGATGCTGATGCTGATGATGATGATGACGACGATGATAACGATGATGGTGATGATACTGCTGATGATGGTGATGATGACGCTGACATGATAATGGTGATGCTGCTGATGATGATGACGATGATGATGGTGGTGATAATGATGGTGGAGGTGATAAGGATGATGACGATGCTGCTGATGATGATGGTGGTGGTGGTGATAATGGCGATGATGGTAATGTTGGTGGCGATGATGATGATGGTGCTGATGATGTGATGATGATGATGATGATGATGATGATGATGATGATGATGGTGATGATGCTGCTGCTGGTGATGATGATGATTGTGGTGACGATGATGGTGATGGTGATAGTGATGGTGATAGTGATGATTATGATGATGATGATGATGATGATGATGATGATGATGATGATGATGCAGATGATGATCATGATCATGATCATGATGATGCTGATGATGATGGTGATCGGGTGATGATGATCATGATGCTGATGGTGATGCAGATGATGATGATGATGCTAATGCTGGTGCTGAGGATGAAGATGATGATGATGCTGATGCTGCTGCTGGTTATGATGATGCTGATGATGATGCTGATGATGATGATGATGATGGTGGTGGTGATGATGATGCCGCTGCTGCTGCTGCTGCTGCCGATGATGATGATGATGATGATGATGATGATGATGATGATGATGATGATGATGATGATGATGATGATGATGATGATGATGATGATGATGATGATGATGGGGAGGACGAGGAGGAGGAAGAGCAGAAGGAGATTGTGAGGAGCAGGAGAGGCCAGAAAAGAGGGAGGAGGAGGAGTATGAGGAAGAGGTTCCGAGGAGCAGGAGGAGGAGGAGGAGGAGGAGGAGGAGGAGGAGGAGGAGGGGGAGGAGGAGGTGGAGGAGGAGGAGGAGGAGGAGGAGGAGGAGGAGTTTGTGAGTTAGAGGAGGAGAAGGAGGAGGAGGAGGAGGAGGAGGAGGAGGAGGAATATGCTGTGAGGAGGAGGAGGAGGTTGTGAGGAGGTGGAGGATGGTGTGAGGAGGAGGAGGAGGAGGAGGTGTGAGGAGGAGGAGGAGGAGGAGGAAGAGGAGAAGGGAGGAGGAGGACGTTGTAAGGAGCAGATGGAGAAGGAACAGGAGGAGGGAAAGGAGGAGGAGGCGAAGAAGGAGGAGGAGGAGGAGGAGGAGGAGGTTGTAAGGAGCAGAACGAGGAGGAGGAGGAGGAGGAGGAGGAGGAGGGAGGAGGAGGTCGCAAGGAGGAGGAGGAGGCGGAGGAGGAGGAGGAGGTTGTAAGGAGGAGGAGGAGGAGGCGGAGGCTCAGGAGGAGGAGAAGGAGGAAGAGGATGAGAAGAAGAAGGAGGTTGTAAGGAGCAGGAGGAGGAGGCGCAAGAGGAGGAGGAGAAGGAGCAGCAGGAGGAGGAGGAGGAGGAGGAGGTGGAGGAGGTTCGAAGGAGCAGCAGGAGGAGGAGGAGGAGGAGGAGGAGGAGGAGAAGGAGGAGGAGAAGGAGGAGGACGAGGAGGAGGAGAGGGTCTTGCCCGCTCCTTGGTGTTCGCACCGCCGCAGCAGCGCCCGGGCCCATGAGCGCCATAGGCCACTGGTGTGCCAGGGCCAGGCCGCCACTGCGACGGTCCGCACCCGCTCGCGAGGCCGCGCCAGAAAGTCTGAGGCCCAGATGGTATACACCAGCGCGCTGCACGAAAAAGACTGCCCTGAGGCGCTGGGGGATGACAGACCCAGGCGTCATCGAGTCATGAAAAAATCAAGGTGGGAGGTTATTCGCTGTTTTCGGCCTTTGGGGGCTCTCGCTGGGCCCGTGGACCGTCAACAGATGACTCTGGACGAAAAACCGGTCCCAGGGAATGGGTCCAGCCTTCTGGGTGTCGACGTCCACAGAAATCATGACGTCGGAGGTCTGGATGGACGGCGCCGAAAGGAGGGCGGCGCACTGCAGAAGCATCGGCGCAGCATCGGCCTCGTGCACTTCGGAGTCATCGTGCGCCCCGCGATTGGAGAGAGGTTGAAGCATCAAATTGAAAGATTCCTTGAGTGTTGAACTGATGAGATGAAAAGGGTGGAGGACATATGGTGTGCCTCCCTTGTTGGTGGTAGGCTTAGGGCAGGCAGTGGCAAGCACCTAGAGGCGGTGCGCTCTTGAGAGGGGCATCGCCACCGAGGGGTCGAGTGGTGAGCACCTCTTCCTCGGCGGAAGTCGAAGCACAGACAGCTGCAGAGGCCTGAACCCAGGAGGGAAAACACAGACACAAATCAGCGCCGATTCCTAGGAGCATGCGGTAAATATGGGAAGCGGGTGGGAAGGCGAAGCTCCAGGAAAGATAGACACATATGTCGGGGGCGGAAAAGAGGGGGGTGATGACTAGGGGGGGTGGATATCATGGCGGGGGCCATGATATTTCCCCCGATTTTATGGCGCCTCTTCTTATTTCATTACGTCCCTGGCCCCCCCGCTGGGCCGCGCACATGCCGCCTGTCATGATTTGCACCCCCCCCTCTCGGACACCCCCCTCTTGGCCGCTCCCGAATATGGAGAGTCCTGGGATTAGTGTCTTTTTCCCACATCCTAAGTGGGGTTCTTGTTTTTTCTCGACGGCCGCAAGCCACTCACCCACCCACACCCAGTCACCCAGTCATACACACAAATCATCATCATCATCATCATCATCATCATCATCATCATCATCATCATCATCATCATCATCATCATCATCATCTCATCTCATCCTCATCCTCATCTCATCTCATCCTCATCTCATTCATCATCATCATCATCATCATCATCATCATCATCATCATCATCATCATCATCATCCTCATCAGCATCAGCATCAACATCATCAGCATCAGCATCAGCATCAGCATCATCATCATCATCATCATCATCATCATCATCATCATCATCATCATCATCATCATCATCATCATCATCATCATCATCATCATCGTCTTCTTCGGGCATTCCATGCGAGCCCGCTCGCGCGGAAGGGACCTCCCCTGTGGCCCCTAGGGGGTCCCACCTAAAAGTTGAAATTCAACGGCTATCGGCACCAGCGAACCCGCTCGAACGGAATGACCCTCAGGGGAATTCCATGGGAGCCCGCTTGCGCGGAAGGGACCTCCCCTGCGAGCCCGCTCGAATGGAATGACCTGCAGGGGCATTCCATGCGAGCCCGCTCGCGCGGAAGGGACCTCCCCTGTGGCCCCTAGGGGGTCCCACCTAAAAGTTGGAATTCCAACGGCTATCGGCACCAGCGAGCCCGCTCGAACGGAATGACCCTCAGGGGCATTCCATGCGAGCCCGCTCGCGCGGAAGGGACTTCCCATGTGGCCCCTAGGGGGTCCCACCTAAAAGTTTGAATTCCAAAGGCTATCGGCAGCAGCGAGCGATCGAACGGAATGACCTTCAGGAGCATTTCATGCGAGCCCGCTCGCGCGGAGGAGGAGGAGGAGGAGGAGGAGGAGGAGGAGGAGGAGGAGAAAGAGGAGGAGGAGGTGGGGATTTCAACCACGGTGCCGTCAGGAGGACGCGGTTGAAATGGACGCTGCTCACGGCGGAGGAGGAGGAGGAGGAGAGGAGGCGGAGGAGGAGGAGGAGGAGGATAGGAGGAAGGGGAGGGGAATTTCAACAGCGGTGCTTTCAGGAGGAGATGGTTGAAATGGACGTTTGTCGAGGAGGACGTGGAGGAGGACGAGGAGGAGACGGAAGAGGCGCCGGAGGAGGAGGGTGAAGAGGGGCGGGAGGAGGAGGAGGAGGAGGGGGAGAAGGAGGAGGAGGAGGAGGAGGAGGGGGGAGGAGGAGGAGGATGGGGGAGGAGGGGAGGAGTGAGGAGGAGGAGGAGGAGGAGGAGGAGGAGGAGGAGGAGGAGGAGGAGGAGGAGGAGGAGGGGGAGGGGGAGGGGGAGGGGGAGGAGGGGGGGCAGGAGAAGCAGGACGAGTGGGGAGGAGAGGGAGGAGGAGGAGGAGGAGGAGGAAGAGGAGGAGGTGGAGGAGGAGCAGCAGCAGCGTCAGCAGGTGCAGCATCATTCTGATAGTGTACATCTTCCATACACAATTAGGTTTTCATGTGGGGTCCATCCGTTGGAGTAATTATTGGTGCGTTGCTGGGTCACTTCGTAAACGCTCGGAGCTCCGCACGAATTTCTTGGATCCGCGCTGTGCCCCCCCTGGCGTGCTCCTCCCGCGCCGCCCCTGGCGTGCTCCTCTGCGCGCGGGGGGGTGGGAGGGGTCCAGCGCCGACCCAAGAAAAATATGCACGGAGCTCCGACAGTTTAGGTTTCTGCAGCTGTTGCTGCTCCTCTTAGGAAGGATGCGGATACAGTCGGATCGAGGTCTAAGATCGACGTCGGCTCAGGGATGGTACCCTAATGTTCTTCGTGCTTGTTCTTGTTCATCCTGGGGAGGGTACCCTCGAATGCTCTTCGTTTTGGCCGGCGGAGGGTCTCATGTTCTTGAAGGGTGTTCCTCTGGCTCAGGTCTGAGCGTATGCATATTTGTTGGGGTCCTGGCTGCCTGGAACACGAGCCACATGCAGTCAGGTCAGGCCGCTATCGAGCCGGCGGCAGCCTGGCCGACTTCACAGCTGATGGAGCACAGCGATGCAGCCGCTGACCACCAAGGAGTTCCTGGGAGGGGAGAGCAGCCACCCCCACGGCCCCCACTCGGGGTCCCCTGGGGCCGTGGCGCACCACGTCCCGCTCTGCAGCACGCGGCACAACCAGGGGCTGTGATGTCTACGGCGGCTGCGTGGCCCGAGACGTGCTGGCCCCGATTCTTCGGCACGCTGGAGGCCTGGGCGCCCCCGGCACGTCCGAGGCCAGAGTCCACACCGTCGATCCGCACAGCAAGGAGGAGGGGCTGCCCAAGGCTACCCATTGCACCCTTCCCCCTCGGCCCGTCCTTGGCCGCTTTCGCTGGCCGCGCCCCGCTCGCAGAGGGTCGGCATGGCCTTCCATGGCCCCTGCATCAGTATCGTGCGTCTGAATTCTACGGGTGGACTGTGCACGTCCCCCTTCCTGAGAAGCCGACGTCACAGGACCCCAAGAGGCAGCGGACGTGGGTACCTGCGGCCCCCCGCCCAGGGCACGAGACGATCCATACCCGCCCCCCGAGGTACCGAGGCATCGGCCCCCGAGGGCGGTGGCCGCACGCAGACTCCAGCCTCGGACGGCTGCCCGTCGCGTCGCTGCTGCCCCGAGATCCGACGCCGTGAAATGTGCAGCGTCTTGACATCAGAGGAGGACAAGGCACCGACACCGCTGCCCCTCCCTCGATTTCCACCTTTGGGGGAGGAGGAGGAGGAGGAGGAGGAGGAGGAGGAGGAGGAGGAGGAGGAGGAGGAGGAGGAGGAGGAGGAGCTCGCCGCTGCAGCGTGCCGCCCGCCGGAGAAGCGCCGCAGGCCGTGGGTGTGCTCCAGAAGCAGGCCGCGGCCCCGGCGGCCGCGGGCCTGCCGCCGGCCAAGTGACCGCGGCGGCCGCGCGCCGCGGCCGCGCGCCCCGGGCTGGGCGCCCGCCGCCGCCTGGAGCCGGGTCTCAGACCTCGAGGCGTCGTGGAGGTTTTTTGGGGGCAGAAATCCAGGCCCCCCATCGGGGACACGCAAGGCTCGAGCACGGCAGGTTCGCGTCGTGCCGACCGGCGGCGACCCCGCCGCCGGCGTTCAACTTGGAATGCCGCCAGCGACCCAGGATCGATCGATGTTGACCGAGCTGATGTTTCGGAGACGCCCGATCGTTCAAGGTTGAACGATCCCCGCGGTGTCAGGAACCAACGCGGGGGTCGACACGACGGGAACCTGCCATAAGCCGAGCTGGGGTTTGCCGACGTTTTTTGACGAGCGCGTCCTGGATTTTGACGGTCCGGTTTTTAAGGG